TGTTTGGAGGAGGAGGAATGCTGCCTATGACCCCAAGAAAACCATCCCCACCGTCAAACATGGAGGTGGAAACTTTATGCTTTGGGGGTGTTTTTCTGCTAAAGGGATAGGACAACTTCACCGCATCAAAGGGACGATGGACGGGGCCATGTACCGTCAAATCTTGGGTGAGCACCTCCTTCCCTCAGCCAGGGTATTGAAAATGGGTCGTGGATGGGTATTCCAGCATGACAATGACCCAAAACAAACGGCCAAGGCAACAAAGGAGTGGCTCAAGAAGAAGCACATCAAGGTCCTGGAGTGGCCTAGCCAGTCTCCAGACCTTAATCCCATAGAAAATCTGTGGAGGGAGCTGAAGGTTCGAGTTGCCAAACGTCAGCCTCGAAACCTTAATGACTTGGAGAAGATCTGCAAAGAGGAGTGGGACAAAATCCCTCCTGAGATGTGTGCAAACCTGGTGGCCAACTACAAGAAACGTCTGACCTCTGTGATTGCCAACAAGGGTTTTGCCACCAAGTACTAAGTCATGTTTTGCAGAGGGGTCAAATACTTATTTTTCTGGATTTTTTTGTTGTTATTGTCTCTCACTGTTGAAATAAACCTACCATTAAAATTATAGATGATCATTTCTTTGTCAGTGGGAAAACGTACAAAATTAGCATGGGATCAAATACGTTTTTCCCTCACTGTAGCTAAAAACCAGGGACACCATCACCAAGGCTGCAAACAAAAACTTTGCCGAGAGCACCCACCCCAAAATGGACTGGCTCGTGGAGAAATAGCACAAACTAGCATAGGCGTGCCATCACCTTTTTGTGTCTCTGTGCTGTCTCTGCATGTGTGTGGGCCTTGGTGTTTCCGAGTGTGTGCTGCTGCTCCGCACTTCCCACGCCCCCCCTTTGCTCCATGCATACCTCATGCTAAGTTGTCCCATTGTCTCTCAGCCTTACCTTCTCTGCCTATTTAAGGCGACTTCACTCTGTGCTGGTTCGCTCTGCTTGGATGTCTATGTGTGTGTGTGCGGTCTGTATTTTAAAAGTTCATACTTAACTTGCAATTTAGCAATCTTTGAAATAGCGGAAGCAACCAGACTATGCGTTAATTGTGTTTTGACCGACCGTCTGTGTTGCTTTATATGGTTTCCAAATTTTGCTAAACCCTGTTTGTTTGGTGTGATTCTCTCTCTGTGTCCCCTGTTGTATCTGTGTTAGTTCCCCCTACTTGGGTGTCTGTATATACATCTGGGGTTATGTGTTTCCTCTCTCTCGTAAATTTAGCTCTTCTGTACCTGATGATGGCTGCTTGTGTTGCAACTGAAACGTTGTACGCTATTATGTTATTTTATTATTTCTTATTTATACGTGACTTTACCTAAAAAAACAAAAAGTAATTCCTGCAGTCACGAAAGCTTCGAATCAAGTCTAAACCACCTCTACAGGGAGGTATGAGGTCTGTGTCTTTGTGTTGTCTCTGCTTGTGTATCTGCCTTTGTGTCTTGGCTTGGATTTGTGTCTCTGTGCTGTCTCTGCCTGTGTGTGGGCCTTGGTGTTTCCGAGTGTGTGCTGCTGCTCCGCACTTTCCGCGCCCCCCTTTGCTTCCATACATACCTCATGCTAAGTTGTCCCATTGTCTCTCAGCCTTACCTTCTCTGCCTATTTAAGGTGACTTCACTCTGTGCTGGTTCGCTCTGCTTGGATGTCTATGTGTGTGTGTGTGCGGTCTGTATTTTAAAAGTTCATACTTAACTTGCAATTTAGCAATCTTTGAAATAGCGGAATCAACCAGACTGTGTTAATTGTGTTTTGCCCGACTGTCTGTGTTGCTTTATATGGTTTCCAAATTTTGCTAAATCCTGTTTGTTTGGTGTGATTCTCTCTCTGTGTCCCCTGTTGTATCTGTGTTAGTTCCCCCTACTTGGGTGTCTGTACATACATCTGGGGTTATGTGTTTCCTCTCTCTTGTAAATTTAGCTCTTCTGTACCTGATGATGGCTGCTTGTGTTGCAACCGAAACGTCGTACGCTATTATGTTATTTTATTATTTCTTATTTATACGTGACTTTACCGAAAAAAACAAAGAGTAATTCCTGCAGTCACGAAAGCTTCGAATCAAGTCTAAACCACCTCTACAGGGAGGTATGAGGTCTGTGTCTTTGTGTTGTCTCTGCTTGTGTATCTGCCTTTGTGTCTTGGCTTGGATTTGTGTCTCTGTGCTGTCTCTGCCTGTGTGTGGGCCTTGGTGTTTCCGAGTGTGTGCTGCTGCTCCGCACTTCCCACGCCCCTCTTTGCTCCATGCATACATCATGCTAATTTGTCCCATTGTCTCTCAGCCTTACCTTCTCTGCCTATTTAAGGCGACTTCACTGTGCTGGTTCACTCTGCTTGGATGTCTATGTGTGCGGTCTGTATTTTAAAACTTCATACTTAACTTGCAATTTAGCAATCTTTGAAATAGTGGAATCAACCAGAATATGCGTTGTGTTTTGACCGACCGTCTGTGTTGCTTTATATGGTTTCCAAATTTTGCTAAACCCTGTTTGTTTGGTGTGATTCTCTCGCTGTCCCCTGTTGTATCTTTGTTCGTTCCCCCTACTTGGGTGTTTGTATGTACATCTGGGGTTATGTGTTTCCTCTCGTAAATTTAGCTCTTCTGTACCTGATGATGGCTGCTTGTGTTGCAACCAAAACGTCGTACGCTATTATGTTATTTTATTCTTATTTATACGTGACTTTACCGAAAAAACCTAAAGAGTAATTCCTGCAGTCACGAAAGCTTCGAATCGGAGATGTGTGCTGAGAAAAAGCGACTGAGCGCACGCCCTCACCCCCTTCTCCCTATTACATTATCTCCTCGTACCATTTCACTACTCATAAAATCATACGTATGTAGTGACACCGCGGGATGTCAATGTGCAGTGCCGGCCCTAACGAGGCACGGCGTGCGGTGTAGCGACATCACGGATACCACAATGGTGTGGGTGTAGTACTGGCCCTAGAGGGGCCCGGTGAGCTCTGAGTGATAGTGCTTGATGGCACCACGCCTGGCGTGCAGTGCCAGCCCTACAGGACAGGGTGTGGGGGAGTGCCAGTCGCAGGAATGAGGTTACTAAAGACCATGGAATTCTGGTTGATCCAAAAGAACACGTGACCAGTTAAGTCTACAAAGGGGCCCCAAGTGGGGACTAGGGGTGGTCACATGGTTGGGGTCCAGATCCTTCTCGAGGATTCTGGAAGGTGGTCGTGGCTAAGGGTGGAGCCAACCTCGCTGCAGAGAATATAAACCGGGTCCAAAGAGGGACAGGCGCTGTTGTTCATCCTGAAAGAACCCTTCGTCTACGTTCTCCGTTCAACGAGTCTGCAACACTTGGCCCTGGACACGAGCTGTGGTCCCGGTCCATAGGAGCTAGTTACGTTGTAATTAGTGTAGTTAGCCTGGTGGTCACCACCATAGGTTGTTATTCTGTTAAGGAGAAGTTACCCCGTGTTAAATAAATGTGATGCCTCCAAGTGTACGTCTGCGACTCAGTTGAACTCACTACAAGTACAGTACGTTATCGTACGTGAGGTGAGGAGGAAGGACAACAAACTAAACGCAAACATAGCTTCTAAAGAAGTGAGTTTTCAATCAAGTGTATTGCCCAGTGGCTTCCTAATATCAGAAGGGAGGGAATTTCAGATGGCAGCAGAAGCGAATCTGAAAGCGCGCAATGCAAACAACTGCAGGCCACCGTGTGCTCCCTGCTGCCAAAGAACACAATTTGATTAAGCCGTTTCCGCTCGTTATGCGAACATTTGCTAATTTTGCAAAAAAAATGGGTTAAATTAATATTGCTTGTTATAGCATATTCTTGTAGAAAGAACGCTGGTTAAGTCAGACCGGCCTGTATATGTACAGTATAAATATTTATTTTGCAGCAATGCAATACACACAGCTCAATACACAAAGAGTTAAATGTATACATATTTCAAACTAAAGAATGGGTCACTTGGGTTTACAAACATGATGTACAAAACTCGTTATAGTCTCATGCTCTGCATGCTGTTGTAAATGCACGTGGTGCATACTCACTGACCAGATGCTTCATTATTATTGATACTAATTAAAAATGTTAAATCAATAAAAAATGTCATTAATTTCTCACGTTAAACAAATATAGAAAGGCGTTTATCCAGCGGTAGAGAGACAATGGCTGCTGATGATGATGTAACGTGCCGCTCATTTTGAAGGACTCCTAAGAGACAATGTAGGTGGAGATTCAAAGACATAGGAAGGTGGCTGTACAGACACCTTTGCCACTGCTGTCCTGTATAAGTGATTTATTTAACATAATGAACATCACAGTAAAACTGACGCTGCCTCATGTGTGTACTTTAAGTTTTGGCTTCCCCACACAAACACACTACCTCCGCAAAAGGTTTTGTTTACTAGACAACCTCAGAGCACCCTCTACCCATAAACTGAGAGCATGGGAGTGCCCACTACTTAGGGACCACCCAAGATCAAACCTGGCTCCCACCCTCTAATCGTCATTCAACTAGAGGTGACGCTATCCCGATCATTGCACATTACAGCGCAATTCGCCGTCTGCATAGCATCACGGTGGTCGAGGCAGTGAGCGCGTGGTTTCACGCAGCTGCTAAATTTGCTAAAACTGTGTGGTGTTTTGAATTAGGTTTACATTTTTTTTACGTAGTGTTGTGTTCAAATGAATGTTCATATGCTTGCACTGAAGAGTATTTTGAGATGCCTAAGGTGTTTCGATGCTATTTAATATATTTTCATACATTTCAATACCAATTTTAAGCTTACATTACAATTTAAATAACTCAATATATTCACAATCAGGTACCTAAAGTCGCAATTTTACCTAACCGAGACCTCTCAGATTTTTGTAGCAGAATTTTATTTTAATTTTTATTATTATTATTCTTTCCCATACCTCGCTAAAATTACATGACTATGCTTACAGGTGACACGTGGTTTGTTTTCATTTTCTTCAGGTGACTGCATTTGTCGTGATGGCATCAAAAGATCCTGCATATGAGATTATTAGAACCAACAAAGTGAATCTGCAGAAATACCTCCAGGCGAAGTCTTCAGAAGTGCTTGACCATTCCTATCAAACAGAGATAGTCCTGGACAGTGAATATGCGTCCCTCAAAAGCGAGAATGACCCCATTGCACGAACACGGCACCTGGTTGACCTGGTGCTCGACAAGGGAGAAGATTTGTGCATGAGATTCCTTAAAGATGTGCTGGTGCCACTGAGATCCGAGATCCCCCTCTTGGATCAGTGGATATCACAGCATGAGCAGGAACTCATCGTGATGGGTGTTGATCTGAGCAGAACTGCGGGTAAAGCCATCCCTGGAGCAGCTTCTCGTGAGTGATGCTAAACTTCACATAGCCATTCACATGTCTCTGACAAGTTTAGGTGAAGGAATTGCTTTGAACTGAGATTCTCATTTAATATTAGCAAACTGCACCACCCTTGCATGACAACATTCCTCTCAGAAGGAGGACATTTATATTACATTCCATAGCAAGGAAACTACAATTTATCAGCAATTGGGAGGAAAGGATAAATGGATAATGAAAATTAGTGTAAATATCAAAAACTTACATCCACACTGGACCCCAACATTCATTAATTCGTAATATCCCACACCTCTCTTTCCTTGTAAAAGATGTAAACATGGTGATTTTCTACCTCCTCTTCAGACACAGACACATTGTATTTAAGCTGGAATAATGTAATGACCTATGAAGCTCTCTTTCAAGTGTCAAGCCCAAGATGTTTGGCAAAGGCAGCAAACCCATCTGCTGCCATGATCTCCATGACTTGGTACAATCTGGATTCCACCAAGGCCATGTCATTGAAACTGTTCCCCTATGCAGGGTGAATGACCACTTCTATTAAACTATGGATGCTGCTTCTAGTTCTTGACCTTTGGGCTGCTTTTGACACCACACACCACTCCATCCTCTTGAATCTTCATGGCGATGCAGGTGTTGTCTGACAAACTTATGTCCTGGTTCTGCTTCAACTCCTGGAATTGATTCATATTTTTCCATGCAAGCACTGTCTTCTGTTCAGAAACCCTAATTTATTGGTGTTCCACATGGCGCAGTCCTGTGTCATCTTTTATTCTCAGTACAATCTCCTCGTTTTGAGAAAAAAATATGTTTTTATTATCGACTATCACTGCTATTTCTAAAGACACCCAGCCTTATATTGCCATTGACTCATATAACGGAACCTACTTTCCTCTTACACCCTGACTTGCATTGGTTATAACTTCCTCCAAATAAAATGTCAATATTTAAGCCCTCATCGTTTGTAAAAAGTCCACTCTAACTCATGACTCCAAGTATTTTATTATGGAGAGATTACGGAGACATAAAAATAACGCCATCAAAGTTATGAGCCATTGAGTTTGATGTTACCTTGAAAAGCTGTGATGAAAGATGTCGAGCAAATCTGTCATTAGGGAAATCTCCACTCTCCCCAATCTAGGGGATGCCACAGTGCTTGCTGATGATGCAGTAGCCAGGTTAGTTGAAGTTCAAGTGAACCTACGATGCATCACGTGGGATGCTATGAGTTATGTGATTAATGTGGTTGTTATTCTAGAGGTGCAAGCACAATGGCAGAGCCAGGATTTTCAGGTAGGGGGGTCACTCCTCCAGCAATAAAAAAATGATAGGAGTTATTAAATAAGGACTTGTCCCTTGCTTTTTATTCGACGCGTGTGCGGCGATGGCGCAGCCAAGGATCGAGGGTCGAATTCGAACCGTGTGTGATCGGCATCGCGCTCGCTGAAGGTGAATGCCTTCAGGGAAGTCGTATACTGTATACGCAACTGCACACACTTATGTGAATGACTTATAACCGCTTTGCCGTTACTTATTGCCAATTATGGACTCAGACTCTTGTCCTATCATCTCATAGAGTCTCTGGCACATAGTAATATGCTACACAGTGGCAGTGGCGGTCGCAAAATGCCGATTTATCGATCGAAATTAAGGATTTCGATCGGATCATTGGGGAGGCACGTGCCACCCCACACCCCCCAACTGGCTCCGCCAGTGTGCAATCACTGCATCTTCTCTGCCTGCAGAGGACCGTGCCTGGTGTACTGCACTCCACCACAGTGTAGCCCCCGTGCTACGTGATGTAGGCCAGCTTGAGATGGGAGAGGAAACACAGCCCCAATACCAGTGAAATATAAAAAGTAAAATTCAACATTCTAAACAACAAAAATCAATAATTGTAGGACGAGGCAGGATTGAAATTTACACCCAAATTGTATTAGTTTTTGATAATGCTGATGTAAATCGTAATGCTAAATGTGGTGGTACTTTCTTTTTCACAGGCAAAACAAACGAGACAAGTGGTTGGAACATTTTTGTCATGATAAAAAAATTACTTTACAAAGGTACAGTGTTTATAAAACTTGCATTTGTAGAATACACATCGTGAAAACTTCCACGCAATAATTCGTGATGTACATGATGTTGCTGCATTATCCATAGTGAACGAATTCGCTACGCTTTTTTAATTACTTAGTTTATTTTAATAATATTTTTCTGCTATAGGAATGTTTTTTAGTATAAATGAAACTAATTTGTTTGTTAAATCATTTCTGTTTAATTTAGATAACCCTGGTGAGGATTACAGAGAATTCTTGCTGAAGCTGACATCATTAACACGAGACTACGACGCACGACCTGGAGAACCTGCAGTGTTTTTGCGAGATAGGATGGTGAAGCCAATTCTGGTTCCCTACTACCACCAGCAGGAAACCAAGGAGCACGAGTTACTAGCGAGAGGCAAGCAGCACGAGGAGCTGATGAAGAGAGCACAGAGAGAAGGGATTACTTACAAGAAGCTCTTTGATCCCATTGATTCCATTGGAAAAAAAACCCACCCCCAACTGGTTATTGTAGTGGGGACTCCAGGCAGCGGTAAAACCATGTTGAGCAAATTCATTGTGCACAGCCTTCTGTCAGGTGAGAGAGTGTTTGCACAACGCTTTGAGCACATTGTGCTCATAAGGTTCAGGGAGATAAATGATGTTGGAGAAGTGTCACTCGCAGAGCTGTTTTCTGTGATGCACTCATGTTTGGGAAACAAAGTGGATGAGGTTTTCGCAAAACAAGACAGAACCCTGTTTGTTATGGATGGGTTGGACGAGTTTGGAAAGCCCCTTCAGTATGCCAATGCTTGCACTGATCCACATAAGACGGCAACAGTAGAAACCATCATTGCTGCCCTAGTGAATGGAAATCTCTTGCCCAAGGCCTCTCTCTTGATAACGACCAGACCCATTGCCATGGAGCAGCTGAGTGAAGTGAATGTTGATCGAGCTGTTGAAATCACTGGGTTTTCCAACAAAGATAAAATATCATTCTTTAACAAATTTTACCAAGATAGGAGTCTAGCAGAAAGGGCACTCAAGCTCCTGCAGGAAAATGAAACAGTGAATACATTGTGCCAGAACCCTTCATTCTGCCATATAGCAGCCATTACACTGAAGGAATATTTACAGAAGTCTGATTATTCTGAGATTATCCTCAAGTCAATGACCGACCTCTTCACACAATACGTGTTTGGGCTAATAGTGCACCATGGACGTGGCAGCTGCGGAGCCAAGGAAATTGTTTCGCCTCTTGCCAATATGGCTCTGAAGGGGGTTCAGCAAAACATCCAGGTGTTCAGCCAAAAATATCTAGAAGAGTGTGTTAGTTCTTCTGAACTAGGCAGTACATTCATCAACAAAGTGTTCACATGCAAGGGCATTAAACAAGGGAGTTGTTATTCATTTTCACACTTGACAATGCAGGAATTCTTTGCAGCTATAGCCGTGCATCTGTCACATTCAACATGGCCAGTGAGTGACGTCATCAAGGCTATTGAGGACAGCAAAGATGGGAGGTTTGACGTGTTTCAGAGGTTTTTTTGTGGACTTGCATCAAGCACTCCATGGAAGTTCTTTGAGGGTATCTTGGATCCTCCATCTGCTGATTCTCAAAAGGAAATAATCGAGTGGCTCAATCGCAGCATGGTGACTCAGAAGTATAACAATCACAGGCTCATCAGTCTCCTGCACTGCGTCTACGAGCTGCACGACCGCAAGTCCCTGAGTGATGCCACTCGGTCCATGACTGAGATAGACCTGTCAGGCACAAGGCTGTCCCTGCCAGACTGCACTGCCATCTCCTGGATCCTGCTGCAGCGAGAAGAACCTGTGAATACACTTTACCTGTTAGGCTGCGGCATTGGCACCGATAAAATGAAGAGGCTTCAGCCTGGACTGCAAAGATGTAAACATCTAGTGTAAGACTTGCACACCTCGCATTCACTACTTCTCAAATTGTGCGTGCATGTGTATATGTGGGTGTGATAGCAACTCCTGGTGGGGAGCGATAGTGTAGCGGTTAGCGCGCTGCGCTGTGAACCTGGCGACCCAGGTTCGATTCCCGCTCACGGCCAACACCAGTGACGATTATCTGAACCGGTCCCGGGCCTCCCCTAGGTCGACTCAGCCTCAAATGAGTACCTGGTGCGGTGTGTAAACATCGCCACTGGGGAGACAAAGGCGGTCGGGCGTGGTGCTGGCCGCCCACCCCCTCGAGTACCGTTTCGGCCTTCATAGGTGCTCGCTAACAGCACTTGCCCCTACAGTCTGTTAAGGCTATATGGGGGATCTTTGTCTTTGTGATAGCAACTCCTCTTCAAATGAGTACCAGGTGCAGTGTGTAAAACATTACTACTCAGGAGACAACGGCAGCCGGGCGTGATTCTGGTCACCCACCCCATCATATGCCATGCCGGCCTTCATAGGTGCTCCCTAACAGCACTTGCCCCAGCAGCCTGTTAAGGCTATATGGTGGATATTTGTCTATAATAATCCTCACTTAGTTACTGTGCATGCACAGAGTGCAATGTAACCCCTTACTTGCGTAAACACTCGGACATGCATCGCCGACGCATGAGCACAACTTTTGACAAAATATTTCCCCTCGCCACTGCAATAATTGTCTTCACTCCTCACTTCACTCCTCTCCCCGCATGCCACGCTCTCCACTCCCCTGATACCTCCCATTAACCCCCCAATCTGCTCCTGCCTTCACTTTTCCCATCCCTTCACTCTTCTCCCCCCATACTCACGCCCACTCATCCACTGAGGGATAATGTTTGGTGAGTGAATGCGTGCCTGCTTTAGTTGGTTAGTGACTTGGTGGGTGGATCGATGAGTGAGTATGTTGAGTTAGGTGAGGATGTGAGTGAGTAGGTGGGTCAGTGGTGTGTGAGTGGTTTGGTAAATGAGTGAATTAGTGTGAGTGGGCGAGTAAAAATATAGTGAGTAGATGGATCCACAGTGAATGCTGCACTCACTGTACATTAAAGTACAAAAGGAAGAAAAGTTATCCATATGCATGGCTGCTGTAACGCTTTCCATCATCTTCAGCAACATTTAATTAGCGATAATGATAGCCCTCATACTATGTGCAGGAAGTGAGGTAACTGTAGGCCACACTGCTATTGGCTCTGCAGTGGAGAGTGAGGGTCATGGATTGATCCACGTGGCCGATTCAAGCCCCTGGTTCACAGTGGATCATGGTCAGTGATGGTGCCCCCACTACAGAGACAACTGATACGTAATGGGTGTCATTCTTAGTTGTAAAGCATTAAAGAGACAAAGATCCCCCAAGTAGCCCATATAAACTGGTGGGGAAAGTGCAGCTCGTGACAGAGAACAAGCACACTACTACAATGCACTTCAGAGCACAAAGACAATCTCCCTGTGGAGCCTGCACACACTTTTGAGGCAAGTGCTGATCGCACTTCCCTGACCAGCACCGTCCTTGTCTGTTTTTCTGTCCCCTTTGCTGATATTTACACACCATACCAGGGTACTCATTTAAGGCTGAGTCACCATAGAGGAGTTCCAGGGCCAGATTTTTTATCACTCACCACAGATGTTGTTACCAGATATTGAACCCAGGTCACTTAGTAATGGAATGGTGCCAACGACTTTCTCACCATTTCCATAAACGTGTAGTGCCGTGAATTCACTCAGAAGACAACCGTCTCTTTTTCCGCCGTCACTTTTATTCCATCGTTCCGTACACACAGTAATTCTCTCCGTGCTCCGCCAACTCGGACACTCCGATTTACTTCAGCATCGTCCGTGCATCCCCTTCCACACACAGTGTTCCGTCCTCTATCTCCACACACACAGTGTCTTCCCTTCCACACACAGTGGTTCGTCTTCTATCTCCTCACACACAGTATCGCCGCTATCTCTTCACACGCAGTGACTTCCCTTCCACACACAGTGGTTTTTCTTCTATCTGTTCACACACAGTATCCTGTCTGTCTATTCACACACAGTGACTCCATCAATCTATTCACACAGTGACTCCATCTATCTATTCACACACAGTGACTCTATCTATCTCCGCTAACGCTAACTCTCCCTATCGCTATTTACTGTCTTTGGGGTTCGGCTCTCTATCTATTCTTCCCTAACATTTCCAGCTGTCTTCTTCGTATCCCTTCACCTCTCGCCAACAACTGCCCAGCAACAACTCTCCAGCAACAACTCTCTCTCCGTTCAAATCACCTCGCGTTTTATCCCCTTTCGCATTAGCCTTAATTAATTGCCACGTGGCTCGCTGGCCGTTTTCCGCCAGCTCACACCTGTCCCCTCTGTCAGACATCCAGCCGCCACCACTTAACACTAACAGCCTCTCGACCAATCACAGCCCTCGTGCCACGACTCCCTTAATTACTTCGGGTTGTTTATGCCACCCGTGACTCGACCACCTGTTCGACCTCATGTGACCCGTTCTCCTTGTCTGTCTGTATGTACTGTATGTGGCCAATTCCTATGCGTATTGTTTACTCCACTATAAACGTATAAAAATAAACAATGAAAGACACTCGTATATACACACACAGACATGTACACACACAAACGTACACATAGTGTACATATAAACTCACACTCCTACACATGTACAAGTAAAGCCTTTGGCCACTCCACTGCTGGATAAGGCACTCCCACACCATGCAGGTCTTGGGGGTTATTTGACCATACATCACCCCTCTTGTCAGTGTGGGTTGGTGTAGAGCATAGAGATGAATGTTGTTCCATTGCCATAACGCAGCTCCGCAGGCTACAACACCTGTTGTTATGCATGGTAGTCATGGGTAGAAGCACCATCCAGGCTCGAGCCTATTTAGATTTTCAGATGTATTAGATCTTACATGTACACTAATATACACTCTCATATATGAATATACACACACTCACTCACATGTACATATACACTAATATGCATATACATGAATACTTGCACGTTACTACACTACACACTCACACACACTTTTACACACCCCTGTTTGAGTCTGCAGTTTTAATGTGACAGTATTTTTTTACATTAAAATGAATGCAAGCAATCTTCATATAATAAGGATTCACATTCATAAGGCGCAATTCGTCCAGTGATCTGAGTGCGCCATGGACAAATTAGTTAATATACGCATGTATGTGCAGGCAGTCCCAGGTTTACGGAAATACGAATTTACAGAAATTCTCCCATGAACCGTGTAATAAAACTCAACGTGTGGAAATGTTAGCGGTAGTTACATAAGTACAACTAGTACAGCACGTTGAGGTTGCGGTCGCCCCGCCTCAACCAAAACGCCGCCTTCACCGAGCCCGAGCTTCACAGGATTAAGGTATTTTTTAAATATCATTACGTAATTTTTTTCCTTAGGTAGCATTACGTAATTGCTTGTTTTCTATACTGAGAACTATATATTCCCATGTTTCTATTGCTGGTTTGAATTTTAAGTTTATTTCATGAGTTATTTACTTTAGTTACTGTGTGTTTATGTAGGTGTGTAGACGAGGAGCGGTAGTGTAGCGGGTAGCGCTACGCTGGGCTATGAACCCGGCGTCCTGGGTTCGCTTCCCGCTCACGGCCAACACCGGTGACGATTATCTGAACCGGACCTGGGCCTCCCTCTAGGTCGACTCAGCCTCAAATGAGGACCTGGTGCGGTGTGTAAACATCGCCACTAAGGAGACAAAGGCGGTCGGGTGTGGTGCAGGCCACCCACCCCCTCGTGTGCTGTTACGACCTTCATCGGTATTCACTAACAGCACTTGCCCCTACAGCCTTAAGGCTATACGGGGGATCTTTGTATTTTTGTAGACGAGGTCTTGCAAAACAAGACCCTTATAAACACAAACATGTTTCAGATTATAAAGGTAAATTACAGTATAAATGAATGGATGATTGTGAGTTAATTGATATTTGTGAATGCCACCTATTATATATAAAATGTCTAACAAGCATTAAACAATCAGCATCTTTGCTCATGACGGTGTGTGCTGTGGTCACGTGCACCCCCATTGTGAGTGTCCCTCACTCACCGCGTGTTTGACTCCGCGGTTCCCGTGGGCTCAGTGAGTCAGCGCTGTCCCTTCTCCCGTCCACCCGGGTTTAGGCTGGGTGACAACAAGATCAGAGACAGCGGACTCCAGCTCATAGCGGACGGGATGTTGGGGAGAGAAGGGAGTTTGGAGACGTTAGCGTGAGTAATGTCCAGATGCACACACACATACAGACACAAAACACAAAGATACTCAGTATAACATAATAATGTTGTATTTAACGTCTATTATAACTTTCTGTTTTTATGCATTCGTCAAATAAGTTATTAGCTACACTTATTACAGCACTTTTAACCACTTAACAATACAATTACAATTGTCACATTACCTACTCTAACCAATGATATTGTTTCAAATTATATTATGTTAATACAGTAGATCATCGATTATCCGGCAGCCGGATTAAAAAAAAAACACCAGATAATCGCATCATTATTTAAAATGGCTTATTTTTGCATATTCTTAAATAAGATTATGTTTTTAGGTGTTCTGCATATATATTGACTGTTTCAAATAGTTTACGATATAAAAATCGCTTAACTAAATATACAAAGACAAAATAAATATCTTGCTGTAAATAGTGACTATTTACTGTACCGCACTCAGCACTCCAATATCGAAGACTCTGCATGGGGTGATGTGCGTACAACGCTCTTGTTCAACAACTTGTGTTAGACATCGACTTGTGTTTGACAACTTGTGTTTGACAACTTGTGTTTGACAACAACAACATGTGTTTGACAACAACATGTTTTTGACAACAACAACTTGTGGTTGACAACAACAACTTGTGTTTGACAATCGCCGGACTGATGCAGCCTTCAGACCGGTGCTCTGGCGAACGCCGAACTGCACGCAATTTTCGCCGGATCAAGCTGTATATTTACTCTTTCTATTACTGTAGTTGTTAGTCATGAAAATGTATATAAGTGCAGTATTTTCATTGTTTAAGTTGTATGTAGTGTATAATGTACTGTATACATTTTTTGATGCGGAAATGGGAGGATGTTCTGAGGAAATTAGGAATGAGAGGCTACTGGAAGAGTTGTAGTGGAAATGCCGATATGCAGGCCAGGTGCTAAGTTACCTTGTGCTCAGACAGTTGTCACTGGGGGTTTCCTTTAATTACATTGTGATGAGATGTTAAATGAAACGCTTTCAGATGTGACCGCTTACAGAATGATGCAATATCGAAATTAAATCATGATTATTTGATCTATATATACATACACAGAGATTCTACAGATAACTTTTAGCAGACTTTTGGGTCATATACTGTTCGGGAACACCTAATGAAGACCAGAACGGCACATGAGGGGTTGGGAGGCCAGCACCACACTCAGCCAACTGATGTTTACTTACTATACCAGGTAGTAATTTAAGGCTGAGTCGACCTAGGTGAGGTCCACGGCCGTTTTAGATATTCATCAATGAAGTTAGCCGTGAGCGGCAATCGAACCAGGTTTGTGGCTCACTGTGCTAACCACTGCACCACTACTTCCCACGTGCATACAACACAAATATGCATGCACTAAGATACATATGTACAAACACGCATAGAGATGGACTAAATGCAAATATACACATAGTAGACATTCACACACATCACATTAAACCCAAAAACCTAAACAGCAGTTGCTATTTGCAAGCTCCTGTTAAAGTTGACATGAGGTTCATTTGTGCACAGTCTCCACAAACACGACCCTCAACCACTGTCCCATCAACCACCACCACCCCTCACCACTCCTCCTCACCCCTCACAATCCCCCACTCTGTGCCCAGACCCTCCACCCATCCCCTCTGCCCCCACTAACAGTCTCTTCTCTCCCTGCAGCCTGTATCAGTGCTCACTGACGGACAAGTCGGGTTCCTCTCTCAGTGTCATCCTCAAGGCCAACACAGGTTTGAAGAGTCTCGGGTAAGCTCTGCTGTTCGTTTCTCACATGCGCTCTGTGCACGAACTGTGCTAATTATTGGTGCAACGCGTTGTGAAGTAAACATTTAAATGTGAATACATTTAATCTTGCTGTCCTGCTTAATCGAGTTCACTTTAAAAATGTTTTACTGTAATCTTAACATATTTGTTTAGTTTAACACATAGGTTAAAGCAATATTCATATTCACAACATATTGTTAGCAGATATATTAATTGAAAACATCTCCCTGTGTTCTCGATGGAAATGTACTTCACTTGTGTGTGATCCTCTGTGGCAACTTTGTGTTTTTATAAACGCAAACACTTTTCATATTATAAAGGTACAATGCAGAATAACTGAATGGATGATTGTGAGTAAACTGATATTTGTGAATGCCACCTATTATATATAAAATGTCTAACACAGAAGCATTAAACAATGAGCATCTTTGCTCATGAACGTGCGTGCTCTGGTCACATGTGCACCGCCATTGTGAGTATCCCTCACTCACCGCGTGTTTGACTCCGCGGTTCCCGTAGGCTCAGTGAGTCAGCGCTGTCCCTTCTCCCGTCCACCCGGGTTTAGGCTGAGTCAGAACGAGATCGGAGACAGCGGCCTCCGACTTTTAGCGGACGGGATGTTGGGGAGAGAAGGGAGTTTGGAGAAGTTAGAGTGAGTAATGTCCTGATGCACACACACTAATATAAGTACACCTTAACAAATATATACACACATACAGACACAAAACACCAAGATACTCAGTATAGCATGATAATGTTGTATATTTAACGTCGATTATAACTTTATTTTAATGCACTCATCAATTAAGTTATTAACCACACTTATTACAGCACTTTTAACCACTATTAATTAACAATACAATTACAATTGTCACATTACCTACTCTAACCAATTATATTGTTTTAAATTATATTATGTTAATACATTAGATCATCGATTATCCGGCAGCCGGATTTTCAAAAACGCCAGGTAATCGCATCATTATTTAAATGACTTATTTTTGCATATTCTTAAATACGATTATATTTTTAGGTGTTCTGTATATATATTTAGTGTTATTAAATAGTTTGCGATCTAAAAATCGCTTAAATAAATATACAAAGACAAAATTAATATCCTGCTGTAAAAAGTGACTATTTACTCTTGTTGGTTCTTTCGGTAAAGTCACGTAGAATGGAATAAAAATAAAACTTAATAAAATAACATTATCACGACGTTTCGGCCACAACATTTACTGTACCGCACTCACCACTCCAATATCAAAGAATCTGCATGGGGTGATGTGTGTACTATGCTCTTGTTAAACAACTTGTGTTTGACAACAACTTGTGTTTGACAACAACAACTTGTGTTTGTCAATCGCTGGACTGATGCAGCCTTCAGACCGATGCTCTGGTGAATGCCGAATTGCACTCAATGTTCGCCAGATCGCACTTCATACTTTCTGTTTCTATGACTATAGTTATTAGTCATGGAACATTTATATAGTGCAGTATTTTCATTATGTAATAATAGGGTTTTTTCCCCTTTTTTCTGGCATCAAAACTGAAACCTTATTACAAGGATTCATGTCTGCATTAACCACAATACCTGCAGTCAAAATGCAAACAAAAAAAACATACTATGATAATATATGCATTGTCCTTGAAACTGATTGGTCCACACCAAGGGACTTCCCTTCAGTTTCAAGGACAATGCATATATTATCATAGTATTTTTTGTTTGTTTGCATTTTGACTGCAGGTATTGTGGTTAATGCAGACATGAATCCTTGTAATAAGGTGTCAGTTTTGTTGCCAGAAAAAGGGGAAAAAACCCTATTATTACATTTTGATACTGGCAAAGGAGGTCTAATGATGAAGTATTTTCATTGTTTAAGTTATTGTATGTAGTGTGTAATGAACTGTATATATTGTTTGACACTGAAATAATGCATAGCTGCTTGTTTTGTCACATACTTTGTGCCGATCGCCAGACTGGTTCAGCCTTTGGAGCGGTTTTATCGGTTTCACCGGATGTTGGAACCCAGATAGGCACGCTCTGAATATAATCAATGATCATCTGTATTTAACGTCATAGATTACAATTAAGAATTTTATATAATGAACGGCTGCAATCTTGACATTAATTGCCCACCCTTACGTTTACATTAATTGCCCACCCATACGTTTACATTAATAACACCACAACCTAACTCTTATTAAAGCCATAAATCACCAATGGCTCTTATACGCCAACCCTATACATTTGAACATTATTTGATCCTTACCCAATATACAGTTTAAACCAGCCTTGGCCTCGTAATGGGTAGCGTGGACATCTGTGAAAGAGAGCTATTTAGCTTTTCGGATTCTCCATTATTAATACATATTCAGATTTAGATTCTGGCTCCTCTGCCTGTATCTAGTGGCCTTTCATGAACAAATGCGATTTTTAATACAAAATATTGCAGATCTCGCCAAATGCGGTGGGTTACGTTCCTGTAAAATGCTGTGTTGGACGAAGCCGCATTAAACAATTCATAGACAAATAGGGTTGCGTTCCTGGGTCCGAAATGTTTACTCCCTCCCTCTGTTTAGCTGATTCTACGACATTTCCACCCTTATTGTACTTAAAGATGTTGAGTTGCTCTCCATTTCTTGTGAGTGTGTATACTTTTTATTGTCCAGTTTCACCCCACTCAGTGCCTCTTGTCTTCCTGTAGTCTGATACGCTGCTCACTGACGGACAAATCGATCCCAGCTTTCCATGAAATCATGATCACCAACAAAGCATTGAGGAAGCTCAGGTAAGTTATGATGCTCGTGTCTCCTACGTGCTATGATTGTTGCTACAGACAAAACAACTTAGATTCGTCAGTAACACTGTGGCCTCAGCAGGAGAAAATATGGAAAAGGCAACGTTTTGGAAATGGACCTTCACAGCATGTTTGTGTGCTATGAGAGCCGTTGCCAGAAGTGGAGTGAGTAGTGGAGTGTATTCCGGTGCATTTAATATTCTCTTTGGTTCTTTCGGTAAAGTCACGTAGAAAATAAAATCACGTAATAATAGAATCGACGTTTCGATTGCAACACAAGCAACCATCATCAGAGAGAGCTGAACAACACAACTGCCAACACGCCACCAGGCTGACCCCGCTCCTCCAAATAATAAGAATATTCATTATCAGACCAATGAACATGACCTAACGACTGAGGAATGTGCCTGATCTTAAATCTGCAAGATAAGCAGGGTTTAGCCTGGAGTGCTTAAATTGGTGACCACTGCACATGACCACAGGCGTTATAGGCAGCAGAGCTAAGTTGTGGGCAACAGACTGCAGTGTGCAGCACAATCCACCCTTGAACTATTCTACGATCCTAGATCTGCAGTCCCTGCCATCACAGACTTGCACTGACCCGCGTGGTGAAGTATGGTGAAGCAGCTCTAATAGCATGAGGAGACCTTAATCCAGAGTGGTTGTTGTGGGCTGCATGGGTCTCGAACGGTGCGGAGCTGCCCGAGTCTCCGTGTGAACCCGTGTCAGCGTGAGCCTCTCTCTGTGCTGCAGGGTGGAGTGCAATGACTTCAGTGAGGAGGGGAAGCAGGAGCTGAGGAGCAAATGGACTCCCAGAGAAGGCCTGCGTTTGTAGATTTAAGCGGAGAGGCGACACTGGCGCTGCAACAGATGGAGCTGCCCCACGCACGACTCGCACAGCAGCCCGGTGCATTTCACCTCAAGAGCTCCGATCACCGGCACCGACTCTGAGCCTGACTGAGACGACAATGAGCGGGGAGCTTTCTCTCTCTGTGAACCCCACACGAAGCCAAGGGTGAACGCGGCTCCAAGATTCTGATGAGCTTCGGATGGTGTAACTGTATTTATGAATGTGGTGTAGGGAAGCAATGTTGGGGTAGTGGGGGAGGGGTGGCAGGGGGAATGCGGAGGGTTGCGAGGCAGGGGGTGATTTTCAGTGGTCTGGCAGCTCACCTGTTACGTCACGTAGCTAAAAACATTTTCATAAATTTCGCATTTGTCACAATGGCATACACAGCATACAAATCATACAGCTAATATGTTTTGCTTATAACTTGCCCATTGCTTTCATCTTCATTATTGTGTCAACTCACGTTAAAATATCTTTTTTATTATTGTGTGAACTCACGTTCAAATACACCATTTTTTTAAATATCACCTTCCTATTATTACATTACTTATCTTCACTTACAGCTTTCGTGACTGCAGGATTTCATATTCTTTGCTGCCCGGGTAAAACTGCATGGCCGGGAGTCGGACCCATTCCCTGTACACCTTCAGGTGCGACAGGCATGTCCTCCGGCTCCCACATTAATTTACATATATTTTTACCACGTACTTCCTGAAGCCTTATATCTGCTACAGCTACAATGGGAGCCTGATCAATGCCCAGGTGTGGTCAAGAGATAGCTCCCTTTTGCTCAACCATGTTACGTTTGCCGATCTGGTAATTGCTGCTTGCTCAGAAGAGGAGTTGGAGGCGCTGCTGCTGAACCTTGAGCTTTCCGCTAAGAGGTGGGATCTTACCATCAGCCCCACCAAAACTAAGCACCTGCCTGGGTATTTTGTACCATCGGACACTCCCAATTGGTGATAGGGCAGTTGTGGAGAGAGTGGACAGTTTCCCATAGCTGGGCAGTGTACTCATGATTGGCTATGGTTAACCAGCAGAGGTCTCACTCCGAATCAGTTGTGTGGCATTATCTTTTCATCGGTTGCATAATGCTATGTGGAAGCTACCTGGTCTGTTGCTCCGAACGAATTTTGAGGTCTTCTCGGCCACAGTCATTCCCTCACTTCTCTATGCTTGCGAAACGTGGAGAGGAGTTGGTACAGGAGGATGTTGAGCTGAGTGGACTTGCCGATGACTGGTACCAGTGGTGTCAAGATCGGCCTCTGTGGAGGAGGCTCGTGAAGGACGCTACTGGGCAGTTGGAGGCAGTCGCCCTCCAACAACAATGGAGAGGGGGAGGAGCGATGCTCACAACAACGAGCAGAGCACCAGGTGGCTAAAGCACAGAAGGTTGGCACAGTAGGGGGCACAGGTGGTGCATCGGCCACTCATCTCAGTCTGTAGACCCGTGGCACCTGGGTCTGCCCCGTGACCTGCCAGCAGGCTTTTGCCACTTCACGTGGCCTTAACGTGCACATAGCCTGGTACAAGCGTCGTGGTGACATCACCACCACGTAGTGGCGAATGGCGGTTGTTGGGTGAATGAGTGTGTGAATGAATGTGTGACTAAGTCACTTTGAGTGAGTTAATGTGTGTGTGGTACAAAATACCCAGGGAGGTGTCAGGCAGGTGTCTGGCAAAACAACTCCCTACCTCCTCGCAGTGCAGGACGGGCAACTCTGTCGTGGACAGTGCTGTGGGGGGAGGGCTAATTCTGATTGGCTCCTCCCCTCATGGCATCTGTGACCACCACAGGGGCTAAACGGGGGCTCAACCGGAGGCGAGGAGTGGTGGTCGTGGTTACTTATGCCCCCACCGAAGACGAAGGGAGGGATGCAGGCAAAGCCGATGAGTCAGATGCCTTCTATGACCTCCTGTCACAGGTGCTGGCTAAAGTGGCCCCTCGGGATAGAGTCATTTTGTTGGGTGACTTCAATGCCCTAGTTGGTCATGATGCTGGCACCTGATCTGGAGTGATTGGAGGGCATGGGCCAGATCAGTTCAATAACAACGGTAGGAGGCTGCTACATTTTTGTGCAGCCCATGGGCTTGTAATTACCAACACGCTGTTCCGGCATCGGCGCATCCACACAACATCATGGATGCATGCCGGGTCCAAGCAAGAACATTTGCTGGACTACGTAGTGACGGACCAGAGGATGCGAGCCCATGTCCTTGACACCCGGACCTATCGTGGAGCTGATCTGCCCTCTGACCACCGACTAGTCATCTGTAAGATGGGCCTGCCATTCTTCCACTCCAGTGGTGGGTGTACAGCCAGGACCCCATTCCAACCTAAAGTGGCCTGGTTTCAGTTAGCTGATGAAAGTTGCAAGCGAGAATTTCATCATCGCTTGCGGCTGGGGTTGGCATCGTCCCCCACTCCTCCTGATGTCGAGGGTAAATGGGCGAGGTTTAGGACTGTGACTCGTGCAGCTGCAATGGCTGGTTTGGGTACGCGGTCCAGACCTCCCCAGAGACCCTGGCTGACAGAGGAGGTGTTCAGGATGGTTGAGAAAAAGCGACAGGCCCACTGTCATCGGCTACAGAATCCCACGTCAGAGAATGAGGAGGCTTATCGCAGCCTTCGCTCGGAGGTTCGAAGAGCCGTGAGGCACTGCAAGGATGGGTGGTGGTTGCAGGTTGCTGAGGAGATGGAGTCTGCCTCAGTGGCCCGCGATCACAAATCTCTATTTAACTCCATCAAAAAAGTAACCTGCAGCACCACACCTATTACCATCATTAGAGGAAAAAACGGTGATCCAAACTCCGACCCCCAGGAACAGGTTTGCAGATTTGCTGAGCATTTCTGTGAGGTCCTGGGGTAGGGGAAATCCCTCAGCCAGGAAAACATCGTGGCACAAAGTGGGGATGACCCTGCTGAGGCTGCAGTGCCTCAAATATTGAAAGAAGTCACTCCCTGTGAGTGGCTGGCTGAGGTGCCATCTGTTGAGGAAGTACTGAAGGTGATCCGGAGTCTGAGAACAGGAAAGGCACCGGGCAGAGATGATCTCCCAAGCGAAATGCTGAGGGACGGCGGCGTTTTTTGCACAGACTGCCCTACATGACATCATAACAACAGTCTGGACCACTGGACGGGTTCCGCAGGATTGTAAGGATGCCCTGGTGGTCCCCCTCTTTGAGAAGGGTGACCGCACAGACTGTAACAACTACAGGGGTATCTCACTCCTCAGTGTGCCGGTAAAGGTCCTGGCAAGGATTATTCAACATCGCCTTTCCAGGCACGCTGAGGAGAGGCTTGCGGAGCCCCAATGCTGTTTCAGGAAAGGGCGGTCCTGCACAGATGCCATATTTTCTGTCCATCTGATACAGCAGAGATGTAGGGAATTCCAGCAAGACCTACTTCTCTGCTTTATTGACCTGGTCAAGGCCTATGATACCATCAGTAGGCCTGAGCTCTGGGTTGTTCTTCGTGCTTTTGGAGTCCCTGACCCTCTGCTCACGATCATAGAGGACCTTCTTGATGGTGAACGGGCCCGGGTAAAACTACGTGTCTGGGAGTCAGAGCCATTCCCTGTACACCTTGGGGTGCGACAGGGATGTCCTCTGGCTCCCACATTATTTAACATCTATTTTGACCACGTAGTTCGTGAAGCCTTCAATAGCTGTACTGGGGGAATCTCCATTTGGTACAGATATAATGGGAGGCTGATCGATGCCCGGGTGCGGTCAAGGGATGGCTCCCTATTGCTCAACCACATTATGTATGTCGATGATTTGGTAATAGCTGCTCATTCAGAGGAGTTGCAGACACTGCTGCTGAGACTGGAGTGTGCCACTAAGAGATGGGGCATTACCATCAGCCCCACCAAAACTAAGCACCTGCCTGGGTATTTTGTACCATCGGACACTCCACCCCCACAACTCCCAATCGGTGATGGGGCAGTTGTGGAGAGAGTGGAGAGTTTCCCATACCTGAGCAGTGTGCTTATGACCGGCTCCAGTTTAACAGCAGAGGTCTCACTCCGAATCAGTCGAGCGGCATTATCTTTCCATCGGTTGCGTAACGCTGTGTGGAAGCTACCTGGTCTGTCGCTCCGCACTAAGCTTCAGGTCTTCTCGGCCACGGTCATTCCCTCCCTTCTCTACGCTTGCGAAACGTGGACCCCCCAAATGGAACATCTTCGCCGGTTAGAAAATTTAGGCTAGCCTGCCTACGATCCATCCTGGGTTTAACCAGGCTGGATTGTGTGAGGAGCTCACAAATCTTTGAAAGATCTGGGCAAGGTCCCATCGGTGAGCTCCGGCAGGCAAGGCTGCGTTGGCTGGGTCATGTAGCCCGCATGCCCAGCCACCACATGCCAAAACAGTTTTGTTCGGTCGGATCGAGGGAGGCTAAACGGGCGCGGCACGCGCTAGAGACGAGATGGAGTGATGTGGTACAGGAGGACGTGGAGCTGAGTGGACTTGCCGATGACTGGTACCAGCGGTGTCAAGATCGGCCTCTGTGCAGGAGGCTCGTGAAGGACGCTACTGGGCAGTTGGAGGCAGTCGCCCTCCAACAACAACGGAGGGCTGAGGAGCGACGCTCAAAACAACGAGCGGAGCGCCGGTTGGCTAAAGCACAGCAGGTTGGCACAGTTGGCGGCACAGGTGGTGCATCAACCAGTCATCTCAGTCAGTCGACCCGTGGCACCTGGGTCTGCCCCGTGACCTGCCAGCGGGCGTTCGACATTTCACGTAGCCTCAAGGTGCACATGGCCTGGCACAAGCGTCGTCGTGGTGACGTCACCGCCACTTAGTGTCGAATGGCGGTTGTTGTTGTGTGTGAGTGTGAATGTGTGGGTGAGTGGGTGAATGTGTGAGTGTCTGTGGGCGAGTGAGTGAGTGTGCGGGCGAGTGAGTGATTGATTGAGTGAGTTTGTGAATGTGTCTGTGGGCGAGTGAGTGTGTGAGTGACTGAGTGTGTAAGTGAGTGTGTGGGCGAGTGAGCGTGTGAGTAAGTGTGTGAGTGAGTATGTGAGTGAGTGTGTGGGCGAGTGTGTGAGTGTAAGTGAGTGAGTATGTGAGTGAGTGAGTGTGTGGGCGAGTGAGCGTGTGAGTGTTTGAGTGTGTGAGTGTGTGAGCGAGTGAGTGTGTGGGCGAGTGAGCGTGTGAGTGAGTGTTTGAGTGAGTGAGTGAGTATTGAGTGAGTGTGTGGGCGAGTGAGCGTGTGAGTGAGTGTTTGAGTGTGAGTGAGTGAGTGTGGGCGAGTGAGCGTGTGAATGAGTGTTTGAGTATTTGAGTGAGTGTGTATATCCTGTGGGGAGCCTTTATGTCTGTGTATTAATAGATACCCACTTAGAGTTAGACTCACATGGACTCTGCAAAGACAAAGATCTCCCGTATATCCTGTAACAGACTATAGGGGCAAGTGTTGCTAACGAGCAGTACCTATGAGGGCCGCCACTGTGGCACACGAGGGGGTGGGTGCCCAGCACCAACACGCCCAGCCGCCTTTGTCTCCCCAGTGGCGAAGTTCACAACACACTGCACCAGGTTCTCATTTGAGCCTGAGTCGACCTAGGGGAGGCCCAGGACTGGTTCAGATAATCGTCACACACACACTCGCTCTCACACACTCAGTTTCACTCACACACTCACACTCTCGCACACTCTCACACACTCAGTTTCACTCACACACTCAGACAAACTCTCGCACATACTCTCACACACACTCAGACACACTCTCACACTCACTCTCACACACTCTCACACTCACTCTCACACACTCTCACACTCACACTCTCACACACACTCAGACACACTCTTACACACACTCAGACACACTCTCACACTCACTCTCACACACTCACTCACAAACACTCAGACCAACACTCACTCACACTCAAAAAATTTGGCCGTATAGCCTTAACAGATTGTTGGGGCAAGTGCTGTTAGCGAGAAGCAGCACCTATGAAGGCCGAAACTGTGGCATACGAGGGAGTGGGTGGGCAGCACCACGCCCGACCGCCTTTGTCTCCCCATAGGCGATGTTTTCACACACCACACCAGGTACTCGTTTGAGGCTG